TGCAGAGCTCCGCTCACTCTGGGTTCAGGCTCCACTGTTATAGTTCATTCAGATAATATTACAGGTTCTCTGAGCAGACCGTCTGTGTAGTGGACAGGACAGGTGGATATGGCTGTCTCTGGTAAGTAGCTCATCTGTCTGAACTAGTGTCTGATAAACAGTTCAGGTTGTTGTCATCATTTTGTGTAAATCTATTTATAGCTGTGTTGTTGGTGATGACAGCTTGTTTTCTTTTTTAAAAAAAAATTGTACCTGTTGATTCCGGGTCTTTCTGTAGCAAGGGGTCGCTGGCTCCTGGACAACTCCTCATATAATTCTTTTCCCTCTGTCCGAAATCTTGTGCGGATGTTGATGATGATGTTCTTTCCACTTGCAGATAATGGCCCAAATAGTGCTGGCTGGAACCTTCAGAAGTTTAGAAAATCTTCTGTAACCAGTGCCATCAGTACGTTTTGCAAGAATAAACTTTTGAAGGTCTTGACAGAGCTCATTGGTTTTACCCATTATGAGGTGTTTCTTGTGTGACACCTTGGTGATGACACACCTTTTTACAGGTCATCATTTGGTCAGATAATATTAAGTGCTTCCTAATTACTGATAGATTTCAGCTGTCTTGCATCTTTCCTTCGTGTCATTTCATAATATTACATAAACATTAATTTATAGACATCTATGGTTTGATTTCTTTGGGTGTGTGAATTGGAAACACGTTCTCATCCCAACATGTAACATACCAATGCTATGTGACCAATCATCTGTATATTACACGTTTGGAGGCATGAGAGCCAGCTGGAATTAATCTATACATGTAAATGTGTTTCACGTCCTGATCATGAATCACTCTGAAAAACACTATGTGATAGGGTTAAGGTTATGGTTGGGGCTGGAATGGATGGCTGGAGCCTCGGCTCTAAGCGTGTCTTACTGCCACAAGTGGAATCCTATTAGATTCAATTGACAGTCCGGAGCGTCTCAGGCCATGAAAAATCGTCAGTATGTTATGTGTTGGGAATGACAATGCTCTTGAATTGGATGGGTTCCTACCAATTTCATGTACATAGCACCTTTAGAAATGTATTTAC